GAATTTGGGTGGTATGTATGTAATTGGGCCTAAAAAAGACTAATTTGGGCGTCATGTATGTAAAATTAAATATGTAAATTTAAAAATAAAACAAATGTTGTTGGTTGTTGCTACGAAAAAGATGACATCAACATCAAGAAATCGATATCACAACACCACTTTCATGCCTCGTGGCCTACATCACCAAATATTGACAGTGTGGTCGGTGATTAATGAAAGAAAATTTTTGGAATTGAGATTAGTTCCAAATCGCAAGTTCCATCGAATTGTTGTGAGAAAGGATTTATTGAAAGGGATTGGACGAATTTTTTTGGTAAAGAAGTTGAGTTGTATGGGTGCGCGGCATCCAAAATCTGTCCAATAAAATAAATTATTTTTATTTTTAATAATAATTACTTAATTAATTAAATTATTTGATTTTGTTTGAGTTAAATCTGAGCCGAACATCAGCCTAATTCCAACAAATAAGTTTGAATCGAGTTGAACACAAATACTCTTTTAACGAGCTATTTCAAACACTAGGCAAATGCGAAAAAAAAAAAAAAACAATGAGTTGGACATAATCAAACCTCAGGCTCGCTCAAGCTCGGCCCGTTTACACCCCTAGTTGCTATATCAAAACTTTGTCAGATATATGGTTGAGAGATCAAATGGTTAGCCTGAGATTTTCTACATATCACCTAATTAACTAAAGATGAAGCTAACATTCATGATAAATTGATTATGTATTTTGTATCAAACTTTTGACTCACACATCTTAGTAGTACTAAAAATATATATTCATAAAATGGTGAAAATATTATATAATAAATACATAAATTCAAGTGGCATACCAATAAAAATGTTTAACACAATACTCAAATAAATTCTTACTTAAAATAATTAGTTTGCGACTATTCTAGTTATATATATGCAATCATACAAATTCTAACTTGAAGTCTAATATGTGCTTCTAAGCAAAAATATTAATCACATAAACAATACACGTATTGAACATTTTGCTGCTCCCAAATTTACAAAATACATATATAAAATACAACATTACTTAAGAATACACTAACTGACATTATTTGTATGATGAACATTAAAC